CTTTATTAGGAACCAGGTCTGCCCCAGGCTGCCTTCAGACTCAGCACCTGCAGCCATGTCACCATCAGCTGCGAAATGCAACGTGTGTATCCCTCAAAGAGTCCCTGTCATCACCTCCCATTCTCTGCCTGTCTCTGTCTCTGTCTGTCACTCTCATTCTCTTTCTCTCTGTCTCTTGCTCCCTGTCCCCCTCTCTGTCTCTCTCTTCTTTCTGTCTCTCTTTCTCTGTCCTCTTCTATCTCTGTCTTTCTATGTCTCTCAGTCCTCCCTCCCTCTATCTTTCTGTCTCTGTCTCCTTTTATAAATATATCTCCCTCTCAGTGTGTCTTTCTGTATATCCCATGGCCCTTTTTCATTCATGTCCCCCTCCCATTTTGAAGCATTTTGCCACTCCAATTTCTTGTGTGAGCTATGTTACATTCATTGATCCCCCCAAACATGCCAATTTTTTCTACCTAGAAACTCTGTGTTCTGCTCATTTATATTTTTACAATTCAATATTTCCATTATCATTAAGTATACTCATCACTTTGTGTGTATGGTTTGAATTACTAAAATTTCTAGAAGAGAAAGGAAAGTGAGATACACACAAATGAGGTTTTTATGTAAATACTTTGCAAAATGACCAAAGAAGTAAAGCACACTTTAGATTCTACTCACTCTTTAAATACCAATTTTCAAGTAGTTTTGTGTATATTTTATAAGTTTGAGATTCAGTTGCATGTAAAAGTCTTTAGTCTGTTAATGACAGCATATTGACTGAAGCCACATGGGAATGAAAAATGCAATAAAACAGAAATACTTAGGTTATTGCTTAGGGGAAAAAAAGTACATTCCGAATGAGAAATATTATACTTGGGTCCAAATGTGTTCCTGGTTGAAAACGATCACTGTGCGGGATTTAAACTTAAATATGCATCATTTCTAAACTGGGAAAAACTGATTTTGAGTGAATAGAATCATCCTCAAAACTGGGTAAGAAGCTCAATATTTTGGGTTCGGAAATAAGTTTTAGAAGCACGAGTGGCATTTGATGGGGTGGACCAGAGATATTCTGGGCCCCCAATACAGAGGGCTCAGCTGACGTCAATCCTAAATTTGTTTGCTTAGGGGTGTGTGAGCCTCCTTAATCTGGTTCTCATTCCAGAGTTAGAACAGGAAAGGCATTCGCTCTGGAAATTGAAAAATTTGTGGCACCTGTCAATTCTGACTATATCAAACCTATACTGAGTGTTGGTTGGTCCAGTAATTAAACCATGCATAGTATGTAGACAATAAACAAGGCCTGCAAAAACGGACAGAAATTCCACCAAAAAATGATCTACTCTCAAGAAACAATCCCAATAGTAGGTTATTCATATGAAAAAATTATAAGAGACGGGGTCATCAAGCCTCTAGGAGATTTGGAAGAAAAATTCAAAAACAATTAAGCACACCAGAAGTCTTCAGTCAAGTGTCTTCTGGAGGAGGTTCAATTGAGGCATAATGAATTACCATACCCAGACCAGTCATTAGTGTGTCCCAGGAATCTGAAGACAGACTCCCAGGGAAAGGGTGTTTACTGACAAACATAGGTCTGGAGTTGCAGTAAATATTTCTTTCCATACATCCCTGGCTACCTGCCTATCTTCAATTCTAAGCACTTTAAATTTTAGCTCATGAAATATTAAGATATGTTTGCACTTACTATTTTTAGGGCTGCTTCTCCAAAGATTTCTGTTTGTATAATACATCAAAAAAAGACAAAGTGGCTATGGGTGTCTTTCCTTTGTTGGGAGATGTGGAAGGAAGGGAGTAGAGGTTATTTGGGGTGTGAGTTTGCCTTGGTCAGCTGAAACACATCAGTGAAGTCATTTCTATTTAAGTCTTGGCTTTGTCATTCTGGGTGTAACAAGGCAGAATTATTAAAAAGAAATCAGAACACAAATCAGTAATAGCTGTCAGAGAAAATGTGCAGAGAAACGATTACATAGGTAAGGGAGGGGGTAAGGAGAGGGTCATGCAGAGCTGATTCAGTCAGGGGCTGGGTGATCACTTGGTCAAGCCAAGTGCTTGCTGTGCAACCCCAAGGGCCTTAGTGCAACCCCAGAATTTATACTGAGAAGCCAAGCATGGTGTCAAGAGCTCACAGTCCTAACCTTGGGGAGGAGGGCAGGGGTAGAGAGCTGTGACTCATTGGCTAGCCTCACTGGCCTCCTGAATAAGTAGCAGGGGTAGTGAGAAACCCTGCCTCAAAAAACAAGGTGGGAGGCTACTGGAAACTCACCGCCAAGGTTATCATATGGCCTCCAGGTGTATAAGCACATGTGTGTATCTTTACACATAAAAACTCAGATAAACAAAGTTCTAGTCTATAGATTCTATACTTTGCCAAAACTCTTATAATTTCCTTCCTGGGAAGTCTTGCTGTTCAAAACACAGAAGCTGTGGAGATGTTCCTAGTCTGAGTGTCAGGATGGGGACAATGGAAGCAGTTACTGGGAATGAAGAAGGGGATGGGTCCTTCCAGACCCATCTGAAGTAGTAGTAGTAGTAGCTGATTTGAACAATCTGAACAGTGGTAGTAGCTGATTTCTCTTTAAGATCATCAGAACTCCAAAGTCAGCCTTCCTACGCATGTCTCTTTCATGTTTTGACAGTGTTTGGCGAGCTAATGGCACCCAGTTTTGCAAACTCTTACCTAAGTGTCAGTCTTGCATATTAATTTGGCTCTGTCTTGCTGGTAGTGTCAGACTGTTGCAGCTTTTCAGTCATGAAAGGGGCAGATTTGCTTCAGTCAATGAGCACTGGTGTCCTTAGCCAACTGCTCTCTCACCATAAAATGAAAAGGACATAGAATTTCACTTGGAATCTGGTGCATAAGTGCTTATCTTTTCTACTGATTATTTTGTTTGCTTTTTATATTTTTGCTTTGGTTTAAGGGACTGGATCTCAACTGGGCATTGTGGCACACTCCTGTAATCCCAGCACTCAGGGAGGCAGAGGCAAGGGGATCTCTGTGAGTTTGAGGCTAGCCTGATCTACAAAGCAAGTCCAGGACAATGAAGGCTATATAGATGAACCCTGTCTAAACAAATAAAAATAAATTTAAAAAGAAAAGAAAAGGAAAAAGGGGGGGAAGGGAAGAAGAGTCTAGATATCACTATGTAGCCCAGGCTGGCCTAGAATTTAAAATCTTCCTGTCTTATATTCCCAGGTGTCGCCTTGAACATGTTGTAGCCCTGCCTGTGCTAGCTTATGACAGTCTAATTGGGAGTCAGTCTCTGAGTCCCTCTTCTGAAGATGGACAGGGTTTTCTTAAGTAGCTTTTCCCAGGACAAGATCACAAAAGCCACACCATAAAACAACTTTACCATCATCTCTAATCTATTTTATAGAAATAACACAGTCATGATTTTATTGGCGGAGAAGACTTGAAAGATCACCTACAGCTGTATTTCATGTCACCACTGAGGAAGCACCTCAGAGAGAACAAACAAATTTCCAAACAGCACAGAGTGCTCTGGTTATCAGTATGGCGTGACATGAAGAAGCCTGCAGGACCAGCTCCCTACCCTTATCAGAACACCTATGGCTAGCACAGTGAAGATCAGTACCTTTTACAACACCCTCTCACACACATACTTTGCCTTCACATTGGGGTATTTTAATACATTGGTTACATTTATTTTTATTTGCAGCATCTAAGCTCAGGGACATTAATTAGCTAGGGTTCAGAAGTGACACTTCCCAAATAAACAAATTTGCTCACCTCCATCACCAGCCCTCACGTAATAAAATTAATCCACCCAAGTAAATGGGAGTAGGCAAGTCTGTCCTTAGACTGCATCAAAGTAGCAACATATGACATAGATGGATAGCTAGAAATTCCTGATGAGCTTTTAAATGCCTTTTAACATTGCAGTAAAAATATGAAACTTGGGCATCGTACTAACATGAATGAGGATGGAGCAGATGTCGAAGCAGAGAAAAGATTCTTTTCCCCTCCTGACTGATTTGCCCACAGAGGACAAAACTTCAGAAAAATCAGTAATCATGGTGGGTGTCGTTAGCATATTCCCAATAAGGGCGCCCACATGAAAACCCCCAGAGACAATAAATGAATGCAAGAGAAAAGTAGAGAGCACCCCTTTCTAGCTGCATCTTTCCCTCCTTGTAAACCACTAATGACTCTTAAAAACTAAAGTTTGTGAGAGATGCAAACACTAGCAGTTATATAAATTAATACGAGATTATTGCAAGAAAAATAAGCCAGACATATTTACAAGTTTGTCAATAATGAGAATACTTCTAAACATAATGTTTCATGTGTCTAAATTTTATTTTGTCTGACAGAAAATCCAAGGACTACTAAAATATTGACTGTCCATCTCCCCACCCCTCTGGAAGAAGGAAGAAGCTAGGTAGCTGCTGTTGGTATTTCTATTGCTCTATTGGGAATCCATGTGATAAAGTGTTGTTCGTTTCTCCTGATTAAATGATGGACAGAAATCGTTGACATAGCAGAAAAACTTTCATGAAGAAATTTTAAAATGAAGGTAAATAAAGCCTATGGATTTAGCTTCTAAATGTTGAGAAAGCATTTGAGAACCTATCTTTTTAATTAATGTTAAGTGACAAAATAATAGGTGTTTACCTAAAGTTGTGTATAACCCACCTGGCAAGAATGTGTCAGTGATGTACATTGCCCCTGAATATACTTCCTAAGTTTCTAGTTCTTGAGGAGCACCAAACATCCATTGTTATTTGTCAATCCGAAAAAAAAGCCTCCAACCCAAGATGAAAGAATTCACTTTTATCAGAGGAACAATAGCCAATATGCAAGTACCTTTATCAATAATAAATCTTCTTTATAAATTAACCATGAGACACAATATCAGTGGGTCTTCTTGTTAAATGGAGACTACCTAGGTAAGGCCGTCATTGCTCAGACCAGCAGGAAGCAGATTGTAAAATACCACAATAGGAAATGTCATACTCATTTTAATTTTATTATTGAAACCCAAAGTTTGAGTGGCGGTAGACAGATTGCATTCATTTTTCATCCATAAAACAACCATCTTGAACATTTCAAGGAAAAGAATGTCTTCATACACTGGAATTGCAACCAATAAACCCTTTATGCATGGCAAGTTGGCAGAAACTATTAATAACATGTCTGTCGAGTGCACTGCCTTCTTTTTTCTGTAGCATAGAAAGGGGGGATCATTAATTATCGTTTCTGCCATATATAAAAGACACTCTGATTGTCCTGGGTTTTTTACAGCCTGAATTCACCTAGTGGCCACTGTTCTGGTGGATTTGAAAGCGATGGATCCTCATCCATTGAAACAAAAAGCTGCAAAGCTCAACAGCACATTGCCTGTCTCTGCCTGGGCAACAAATGCGGTATTTTAGGTTGACTCTGAAAGAGGATTATGAATATGGATAGAATGCAAATACTTCATCTATCTTAATCAGAATACAGGAATTCAAGCTGTTGAGGGGGGAAAAAGACCTGAGAATTCCCATACAAGGAAAGAATTTTATAGCGCTTATCACATTTAGAAGACAGAGATTAGAAGTGAGCGAAATGACTCCGAGAAAGCAAGCAACAGACTTAGCAACAAGTGCAGAATAATTCGTCTGATGACAAATAAATATAATGAACTTTCAGATTGGAAAAAAAAAAAAAAAAAACGCTCTTTAGCACAACTGAAAGTGTTGTTCTCACTCGTAGGAATTCGCTTTGTCCGCTGCTTGTCCCTATAAGACTGGTTCTCTTCACTGACTGCTTGAACCGCCATCCTCCTAAAAGGGTCTTTCCCCACACAAGTCTCCTACAATAGAGAAGAAAGGCCCCTACTACACATATTACTAAGCAAACATAAAGAGAACAAAGGGGTTGGGAGGACTTCTGTTGGTTCATTCTGAATTTTCAAGAAGGTTTTAACCATAACTGAGTGCAGAAAGCATCCTGTCTTATTGTTTCAATTCACCTGCAAACCGACAAGGTTTAGGTAAAGAGGACTCACTTCTTCTGGGCTCTCTGTTTCATTTCACTTTTGATGAATGCACTTACATGTGCTTCTGTCACTAGAGGGACGAAGTACAAGAGGCTTCTTTGTTATTTAAGGAAATCATTAAGTTTCATGTATTCCTTAATATGAGTATTCACAATTACAAGTCTGTGATGCTGTGGCTTTTGTTTGTTTGGCTGCTTGGTTTAAGACTGGAGACAAGGTCTTGCTATGTAGTGTTGGCTAGCCATTACTCACTATGCATACGAGGGTAGCCTTGGACTGATGGAAAGCCTCCTGCCTCAGGCTTTAGAGTGCTGGGATTGCATGTCTGGTTAGTGCTGTAGATTTAAAATATCCATTTATGATTATTTTATGTTCAAGTATTTCTCTGTGCTGACAGAATTTTAGAAGGTTTTGTTGAACACATAATACTCCAATAACCTCTAGATGAAAGACAGTTAAACCAATAGACACTTACTGTTGTATGCCTATAGTCAGCTCTTAATTCACCTGTCATCACCTGCTGAACTTTAAGGAAGCTAGTTCCCCATTCTGTGCCTCAGTTTCCTCACCTACAAGAGGGTAAATGCAGGAGTTGCATGGCATACAGAATGAAATGATGGGAAGACTATAAAGGAAGCTGCTCAGCCTTTGGGTATAGGAAGTGCTATCAAAAGTACAATGTAGGCTTTAGCCATTATAATTAATTTGTCTACTTGCATGTGAACTAAGATTAAAAGGTATAAAGTGAGTTGAAAAAAGAGAAGGCTTACAGGCACGAATGTACTCCGTCTTGACTGCTGCTAGATCAAGCATGGAAACATTTTCACCAACAGTTGCGTTCAACGAGAGCAGAGATCCTTGTTGTAAATTGGCCAATGTGGGCAGTGACTCTACTAGTGAATTAGGATAACAGAAAGCAGTCAGCCTGGGAGCATGTAAGTTGGTGTCATTTCCTCTCCTACAAATTACTACAAAAATCAAGGGAGCGCCAAGCATATTATTATAACGTGATAAAGCCAGATTCCGCGTGAAAAGAGACTGTGTTCTTTCTCACCCAGTCTGTCATGTGTGTGTTCATTCTCATACAGACACATGTATACGATCTCCCTATAATCTCTTTTAAGAACCTCTATTGAACGGGACTTTTTATTACCACTGGTTAAAAATGTCATATCGTAAGAATCTGGCAAACAATCAGAACCATTTAATCTTTCACCAAGGTTTAATCAGATGAGGTTTATATCTCTTTTGTGCGTTGTCAAGTGCCCACCACAATTTGTCTCCCCCACACCGGACTGACAGATTGAGCGAGTAAGCAGAGAGCCAGAACATTGGAGTCTAATTGCAGTGTCAGCACTGCTAACTGTATTTATGAGAAGAGAGTTCACACTATGACATTAATAATTTCATCAGATTACACATGTTTGCTTGACAAACAAGCTATTCTCTTTAAATTATCTGTGACTGGGGCTGTTTGCAGCTGGAGAGCAGCCATGAATTCCAGTTTAGAAAGAAAAATAAACTCACCGAAACGCTAGCAACTTATGCTGTTGCGTGGGGTGGGGGGAATTAAGCCTTGAAATATTTGCATCGAGCTAGACTTTATAAATCCTGGTTTCCTGTCAATAGGAAGGAAAAATTGGTTAGGAGCTCACAATAAAAAGGAAGGGTCAGGAAGTGCAGTTAATTGTGTCTTGCTGCAACTGTAGTTCAAAAATAGCTTCAGGCGGAGACATGAAGTCTTTTAGTTTGCCTTGACTTTCGAAGTCACTAGATGCTCACCTGCAGTGGCTTCTGTGATTTGTGGCAGCTTACCAAAGGCACAGGATAATAAAGACAGTTTGTTACCCTCTAATTTTGGAGGGGCATAACACATGAAGCCTGTACAGCAATCTCTTTCCTGCATATTTCACTGCATAAGGGAAACAATAAGAGAGAACATGACATGTATTAGAGAAGCAAATTACAATGTTATACTCTTTGGTCCAATAAACTATCGTGGGCTGTCATGTGCCTGACTACTGAAGTGTTGTTTTATGCTACAGCTTAATCAGCTGGGTCTAGGTTGTGCTTTCTTATGCTGTGCCTTAGGCAGCATAAATGCTATGATTCACACCCATGATCACAGAGGCCGAGACGGTGAGGGCCGTACAACCTGCCAGGTAAGTTATTGGCCTGGGTGATGGATCTCCTTGCAGTTAATTTGGAAGAGGGAACAGGACTTGAACCCAATTGTTAAAATGATCACAAACCATCCAGCCACCTGTTTGTCTTCTTTAATAGGAGCATCTTGCCGCTGTTGGTACCAACAAAGGCAATGTTTCATCATTTGAGCCTAGAATCTGTGTGCCCTTGTGAGAACCCCACAGGCAGGAAGCACCTGTATTTATGAAGCTACGTGAGGCTGCATGATATGAGCCCGAATGCAAAAAGTTACAGAGAGATATATGGATTCCATCACCAGCAAGCCCGCAAACAGAGGCCCACTTGCTATAAATACTAACAAAATTGGTGTCAGAAGAAACTATTTGGCCTTCCTTTTTATATAATTCAGATAGTAGTTCTCTATTTGTTTTCAGTATTCTGTGGCAGTCGGTATCGTTAATACAATGAAACAAAGAGAACCAAAGTAACAGATTTTATCCTAGCATAATCTCTATTTATGAATATGTGGGCTATCAGTGTGCATTATTGATAAAACTAATAGAATTGATTAGAAAGATGGAATAATTCCTCCTTGAACTAGAAGAGGATTAGAAAGCTTACTGCCAAAATTTTACACAGAATATAGGGGGAAATATTCATGAACCTAAAAGGCTAAAGGAGGTTTCATCTCTAGGATGGCTATTATGAAAAGAGAAGCAAGTGTAGCAAGGATATGGAAATGGCAGAAGCCTTATGCAGCACTCATGAGGACCTAGACTTGTGCAGTACAAAAGAGTGCGACAAAGAAGTGAATGTAGGCTCCTTTTCCATCTCTGGGCTCCAGAGGATGAGGAGCGGCCACATGTCTGCGCATCTTCCATGGATGGTCCTTTGGAACTGTTCCAGTTTCCTGATCAAGAGGAAGAAGCAGCAACACCGAATCCAAAAATCTGAAGGCCTGCAGCTCCTTCTGCTACAACGGCTGATTCATTGCAAGACTGTGGGAGTGGAGCCCGCGGCTGATGGCAAAGGGGTTGTGATTGTCATGAAATGCAGAGGCGGTCAGTGCAAACCTGCCACTCCTTACATGAGGAACACCATCAACAGGAACGCTCCGGCCGCTCTCGGTAGCATCAGGAGCATGATCCAAAAGAAAAAGATCCAAAAGAGCATGATCCAAAGTATTGCTCCGATCCGCAAATAGCGGCCATCCGCAGAGCTAGTGCCACCTGCGAGGCCAGAAGCCTGTGGCGGCGAAGAGGAAATGGACCTGCCCCACCAAGAGCTCCTGAGCCCCACATCCCAGAAACAATAGAGTCCACTGGCTTTTTCAACCACAGACACACACACACACACATACACAGAGAACTGAATATAGGATAGCCCAAAGATTTCAACAGGAACATAAATAGAACTTTGCATACCCATGTTAACGGCACCATGCTCTGAATAGACAGAAGGTGGAAGCCACCCAAATATCCACCTGTATCCTACTGGATCTAGAAAATATGTTACATACACTCAACAGAATATCACTTGACCTTCAAAATGAACTAAAATCCTGACACATGCTACAACAAAGATGACCTTTAAAGGTATTAGTCCGAGGGAAATAAATCAGGCAAATACTATATGATTCTGCTTACCTGAAAATTTATGGCCTAAAATAGTTCCATTCATAGGGAAAATAGCAGACTGCTTTACAGGGCTGGGGAACAGAGTGTGGGAGGGAATGAGCTGTTTACAGAGTGGAGGGCCGAATATGGCATGATGAAGCTGGCCTAGAAGTGGATGCTGGGTCATGTCACACAACAGAACAAATGTACTCGTCACTGAACTGCATTGTTAAAAATGACCAAAGTGGTCAGCTTCACATTACTAAATTTATAGCAATTAAAAAGATAAAGCCAGCACATTGAAGAAAAAGAGGAACCCTCTTCCCCCACCAAAGAAGCCATTTGAGACCCCAAACTAATCTCTTAACACTCGAAAAAGAGAAAGAACATGAAGAGGCAAGCCTTGGGGACTGAGCAGATGGCTCATTTGGTAAAGTGCTCGCTGTGCCAGCATGAGGACCCAGGTTTACACTCCACTTATCCACAGAAAAAGCCAAAAGTGCTGTAACTCTCATCTGGAGTCTCAGCACTGGGCAGGTGGAGCTGGAAGGATCCCTAGGGCTTTCTGGCCAATCAGTCTAGCTGAACAGTTGCACTCCAGGTGCAGGGAGAGCGCGAATTCAAAGCGTTAAGAGGACTATTAAGGAAGACATCTGGCACCTGTAGCTCCCACGTGCATACACGTGCACGCATGTGCAGTAACCTATGCATGCACACATGTGCACACACACAGGCACAGTCAAATCCCAAAGACCTGGGTCTTCAGTCAGAAGTTGTGGCTCACGCCTTTGCTCCCGGCACTTGGGAAGCAGAGGTGGGAAGATCTCTGTGAGGTCAAGGCCAACATTGTATATACAGCGAGTTATAGGACCACCAGAGTTACATAGGGAAATGATGTCCCCAGCCCCTAAAATATAATAAATAATAATAATAATAAATGTGTTCCTTTACCCTAGATCCAAAGCCCTTCCTGGTTCCAAAGACAATGGCATATCCATATTGACAACAGTGTAACTTCAGGGCCAAAGGTTCCTGCTGCCGCAAAATTCAGCCTGTAAAAACACAATGTCATTAGCATAGAAATGCAAGTATAAAAGTCCTTAGTATTACAACACTTATTCTGTTTACTTCGATGCACAACAGCAGTGTAACCCTTAAAAAGAAGCAGCTATTTTATGAGACAGGGTTTCTGAAAAATGCATCTGACAGGTACCCCCTGTAGCTGGTGGGTATCCATTTCTGCAATATTTCTATGCTGCCATTGTCCCCAGCCTCCAAGCCTATGCCTCTGTTCCAAAGTTCTATGTTCTGTGCCAAAAAAGTTCCAAGGAAGGTTTTTCTGCTGGGGCTAGCTGTAACATGAAATCCTATCCAACAATAATCCATACTCTTTTTTTTTTTTTATGTGTGTGTGCCTGTGTGTATGCAGACAGGTACATGCCATTGTGCACATGTGGAGGTCAGAGGACAACTTGCAGGGCCTGGTTCTCTCCTTCAACCATGTGGGTTCCGGGGATTAAATGCAGGTTGCCCTGCTTGACAGCAAGCCCCTTCACCCGCCGAACCTCCCTCCCCTCCCCCCCGTACACTTTCCGTTTAGAAAGCATGACGCTCTCCTGTTAAGGCTTCACCTCTCTTAAACTCATTTAGATGGCTGGAGATGCAGCCATTGGCAAAGTGGCTGAGAGCCCGGCACTCAGCTGACATGTGAGCGTGGGGCATGTGCCTGTGATCCCAGAGTTGAGAAGGCAAGTACAGAAAGATCTCTGGGGCTTGCTGACCAACTGTTACTGTACCCAATCAGTGAGTTCCAGGATCACTGTGTGACCCTGGCTCAAAACTAAGGTAAAGAGGGATTGAAGACTGCCACTGCTTCTGTCTTGCGTACATATGTACACATATGTGTGCATGCACAGGCGACCATGTAAACACACATACATACAATCTCACAGGGAGATGGGGGTGCTGAATAATTACTATTCTGTGTCTGTTGAGTCCTTTCCTTTTGTGTGAAATTCAAGGAGTCTTGGAGCCTGGAAGGAGTAGGGTGGGTGAGAATCACTCTAAGCAGGCCAGCTAAGACAGCCACAAAAAGCACCAAGCACTTGAGGGAAGAGGTGGATATGCTTCATAGACATTCATTCAAAGCTCGGTTCTGTCAGGAAATGTGCAGTTAACATGGCATTTCCCAAAATATATTCCAAAGAATGTTCATCTTAAATGGATGGGGAAAGCTTTACAGACCCTGAGGTTTGAGTACTGTGACTGTCAATTATTGTGCTACCAAAGGCCCTGTTAAGGGCTGCAGTCATGAAGATGGTTGAGTTTGATCTCATATGGTCTTGTCCACAAAGCTTATATAGCATTCACATTGTAGTATGCATTGTAATTCACAGAGGGGTAGTTTTAAATGCTGGAGAAACTAGCATGTGATATGGTCAAATACTGGGACATTTGAGCTTAATGGTGTGCTCTCTGGTCCTGGAGCCAAGCCCCCACGGATATCCACAGCAAACTGTGTGTGTGTGTGTGTGTGTGTGTGTGTGTGTGTGTGTGTGTAGGTATGGAGTACTAGGATTGTTTGAGCCCAGCAGTTTGAAGCCAGCCTGAGGTTTGTGTACTTGATATAGCAGACATGATAGATCCTGAGATGTTTCAAGTCCAGGTGAGATGTGCTGATACAGTAGGATTCTGGGAACCCACCCTGAACCTCCAGGAAGATAAAAGCCATGCTGGGGACACTGTGCCTGCCCCTCAGCTCTCCTCCCTCCTAGCCAGACATACTATGGACATGAAAAAGTTCAACCCAATGACACTAGCATTAAACAGTGCTAACAAGGAATTGATTTCGCCAGTGCAGATGGGTAAATTGCTCTTCCTCTAAAAGCAAATGAACTCGTTGGGGCCCCTAGGGTATTGTTCATTTACTAATTCATTTACAAATTGTTTGCTTCTTGGCCTCTAATTAGTGGCATTCTCCTTGGTGACCATGTGTGTAGGAACAGTGTTCATCTCAACTCCTTTTCTCATTACTTGGTGGCCTTTTATCTCACTCCTCAGGAGGGAGGCAGCACATGGGGACAGTGGCTATACATCATGTCAGTACCAGAAAGGCATCCATCACGCTGCCTAGTAAAGTTGAATGGAACAATGACAGGGGACTGACAGGTTTGCTTTCTAATTCAATTCCTGATACCCTAAGAATAGGTTCTGTTCACTATTGTCATTGAGATATCAGAGATAAAGTAATTTAGAAAAGGTGGGAAGCCCATACTACCTATGCACATAGATGCACACCCCGCTTTCTGTTCTCCTGGGAAAAGGGCTTCCCACTCTCAGCACCAGATGTAATGTGTGTGGGGCTCAGGGTGAATTAAAACATAGAATATCTTATTCTGACATCATGAGAAAACAGTTTAAAGGTCTTTGAATAGAAATCTCTCCCTTACCCTTTCCTTCTCTGCCTCTTCTGTGACATGACATGGTTTCCACTGCTATGTAATGTCCTAAGAAAACTATAAATTATTACCAGAATTATACAGCTCAATTTTATCATGCATGATGCCAAATTTAAATGCAAATAGGAGTGTTTAAGTTGTGTGGACTCGCTGGAACTTCCGAGCTCATGCACTATAGATTTTCCATGCATTTAATTGTCATCAGAACAATAAAAGTAACACACAAAGCCAACACAACTGCTTTTACTTCACTCCTCGTTTCACGCATGCTCTCGCCATTGTCACCCCGAGGAGTAAGGAGGCCTGAAGGAACCAGAGCCTGAATTGTCTTACAACTGAGTTTCCCTCTATGTTTCCATCGATCACAGGTGTGGCACACTTACTTCCACTCATGGGACTCCCACACATGGATAACACCAAGCAGACTCCCTCAGTCCTATGGTGTCCGAAGTGGCTTATCTGCATCAGGAGGCAAGGATTAGAATACACATTTTGCCCAACTTCACTGTAAGAACAGATTCGAACAGAAAAGCATCACAGACTGCAGGGTGGCGAACACGGAAAGTGAACAGTGGTGCTAAGCCATGCTGATACTAAGTGAAGCGCAGAGTGGACCCCTGCGAAGCTGGCCCACTCAGCCTTCTGTAGAATACCTAATGGTCACTCAAGCAAGGGCTTGGCCATCTCACAGGGAAGGCTACCAACAGCGGCCCTTCATTTGTCTTCCATATGCACTTCAAATATAATGTTTATAAGCTGAACCATCCTTGGGCTGGAGATACATTCAGCAGTTAAAAGCACTGGCTACTCTTGTAGGGGTTCTGTGTTTGGTACTCAGCACCCACATGGTAGCCCATAATCATCTACAATTCCAGTTTCAGGAGGTCTAATACCCTCTTTTGGTCTGCAAATTTATCAGGCACTCATGAGCTACAACACTTACATGAAGGTACTCACACACATAAAATAAAATTAAAAACATCGAGTAGCTGAGCTATGCCAAGACTATGCAGGGTTCAGCCGAGGGTGGCTTCAGGACTCAGTTTGAATAACTAACCTTAAAAATCCCAGGCCATGTGCCCTTATAAACTCAATTCACAAAAGCATTGGTCCATGCATAGCCTCTTTTAATGCCCATGTTATTGTGACCCACCTCCACTGCTGCCAAGGTGGAAGGAGTTGGAGATCATTTCACAGATGCACATAATGCCTACAGACATGCTCACCATTCTGAGCCCCTCACTGGCTGCCTCTCAGAGCCTGAGGGCCTTTTCTTCTTCTCTTGGTGACTGCATGGCTCTCATTCTGCTCAGGGTGGACTATCTTCTTTTCATAGAAAATTATTTAGTATCACTGAGAAAAACATGGCTAAGTGACATATCATAAAAGCCACTTCCACAACATTCCTTCTGCCTCTCTATCTCCCGTAGCTGGCTGCACTGACCACCTGCCTTCTTCAGATGCCCATTTTATAGGTGGTGTGGAACATGCAGCATCCTGATGGACAGTTCGCAAGAGTTTATTATAGTCATCCCCATGTCTGCCTTGGTCACTGTAGAAGTCATATTATCAGATTCCTAACTAGACACATTATGATGTTAGAAACTGTAAAAGAACGTGAGTCAAAAGAAATGAAGAAATAAAAGACTGTGCACAGAGCCTGGAGAAGTGATGCAAGGAACAGAGACCTATTTTCCATCTCCTGGGTCAAGCAAATGGGTTAGTGACTACTGGTACAGCGCTGAACGGACACCCTGTCTCCCAGCGCCAGGCAGGCTCTCCATTGAATGGTTCACACCAGACCCTTCTTCTGTGCAAACAGGAGGAAGTCATTTAAGCAGCAGTCACTTTGAATGGCATGCAAGGATTTAGTGAAATACATGCTCAGGACAACTTTCTTAATCCTTGCAAGTCTACCCAGCAGAGGGAATTCCAGGGTGACAGAGGGAAAGAGTGCATTCAAGTGTCTCACTGCAGCAGTGAAGTCCAGAGCAGAAAGCTCTCAGAACCTTGTCACAGATTTAGTTGGTGCTCGTTCAACACTCATGGTTGGTGGGAGAAGTTGAGTGAACGATGGTAAACATCCTGGTCTTGCCTGCTGATTAAAGTGCTATGTATGATGCCTCTTTAGAAATCAAAGGAATTATCCTGCTAATGAACCAAATTAGACTGAACTAACATTCATGTTAATAATTATTACTTGGAGAAGCAGCTGTGTGCGGTTGTTAATGATAACCTGAGTGACGAATGGATAATATTTCTCAGGTGCATAGCCTCCGGTTTAAGGCAGGCTTGACAGAAATATGCCAGCACCCTCTCTGGCCCACTTTTGAAGGCTAGATGGAGTTTTTCTTTAGTAATGGTGGTCCTGAGTAAATAATGACAAGACTTTACAACTAAATGTCTGGACTGGAAAGATGACACAGTGGCCAAAGCCCTTGAAGGGCAAGCATGAAGCTGAGGGTTCAGATACCCAGAGCTCACATAAAAGGTCAGAAGGTGATGTGTATCTGTCACTCCAGGGCTGGACAAACAGGCACAAGTGTGTCTCGGGAGCTTGTTGTCCAGCTCCTCTAGTTTAGTGAGCTCCAAGTTCCACGAGATGCCTTGTCACAAAAAAAAAAAAGGCAGAGAGAAAAAGTGGAAGACATTTCTAGTCTCCACACATAGGCACTTTCTCCTCACATGTACACATGAACTCACATGTACACATATGCGTGTGACAGATGTAAGCATGTGCACACACACACACACGCATACACACACCAGCAATATTAACCTAAAACACTCGCATGAACTCTCTAATATTAGACATGAAATACATATGGAACTCATTTTCCCTTGAAATGAGCCACAATAAAAAGAAAAGCAATTCTATATTCTCGAGGATAGAAATGAAAAGATACGCATTGGTGGTAGTATTGATTTTTTTTTTTTAAATCTACCAAAAGGCTGTTGGTAGGCATTGGTTATGGTTACAGTGAACAGCAAGAGCTGCTTTAATTCCTCTATGGAAGGGCAGTTCTATGGGACCTTTTGTCATTGTCAAGGTGTCAAAAAAAAGAGAAGTACTTGGCATAAATCATCAATAGTATCCATGAACAATTTAGTCTTTATTATTGAGTTGTCTTTTTTTTTTTTCTCAGACTCCTTGAAACAGTCACAACAACAACCAAAGCTACTTGACAAAGGAAAAATAGCCTTCAGGGTCTAATATGTGAGTATATTCAGGTTCACACGGGTTTTACAAGAAAATTAACAAGGAACATGCCCAGAGAACTTGAGCTGCATTAACTCAGAACTCAATCAGCTTCATGTGTTAACATCACGGAGGTGAAAGCTATGAAAAGCCTATGTAGGAAGATGTTTCTTACATCTGGAGAAAAAAAAAAAAGAGCCTTTAAAAAAAATAAAAATCTCAGCAGAACAGGGTTCCACACACTTTTAATCCCAGCATTTGGGAGGCAGATGCAGGCAGATCTCCAAGTTCAAGACCAACCTGGTCTCCAAAGTTAGCTCCGAGACAGTAGAGGCTACAGAGAGAAACCCTGTTTCAACAAATAAACAAAAGTAATAACAAAATCAAAATGAAAATTAGTTAAACAAAATCTCTTACTCTCCCTGGCAGGAAAATTGATATCATATCTAAAGCAGTATGAAATCACTCAGTTAGTGACTGTTGCTATTGTTACCTGATCATTGAAAGACTAGAATCCTGCCAAAGCGCGATGGACAAAATGTCCCCGGTCCCTTAGGAGCGTGTCCTCTTTCCAGTTAAGGCCGCAGTGAAGCTGACTGAAGATGCTTCAGCGCATAAGGACTGCAGAGTTCACGGGCTGCTTCTCAGCATCCTAGTTGTCTGAAAGCATGTGCCTGATAGTCACAGGTAACTCGCCGTTTTCTCTGTGTGTGGAAGGAGGTAGACGAGGAATTTGCCCTAGGTTAGCAGTCTGACTCTTCGTCTCCGCCTTATCTGTCTGTGATGACTATACATTGCCCTGGTTTCTCTCACGGCTGCTTTTCTGTTCACACCAAGATGAGTCAAAAAGAAAAGAAAATGTACTTTCACATGAATATTTGACTTCAACACTGTTTGGTTCAAATTATAGAGAAAGGGGTTTTCTGGAAATTATTATTTTTTTATTAAACATTTATGAGGTGTCAGGATCAGCCGCTATGGGTCAAGATAGCAGATTTTTCAAATTATTTCTGTAAATGGTAGGGCGTTAGACAGAAGTCTCAGTATTTTATGATGGTTTGCACGACCCCCACCCCCAAGGGCAGTGCCAGCTGTTTAGTTCTTGAATGTTGTCCATAGTGAATGTCTCATCGAATTCGGGATCTGAACAGGTGTGAGTCTTGTCACATGTACCCACAGCCTGCTTGCCTTCCCAGCTTATGATGTGATGATGTTCCACATCAGTTAAACAGGGAGGAGAGAATGGGTTCATTGAAGAATCTGGTTCCTTGTAATCAGCTGTAAAGAGACCAAGATCATGTGGCAAATTTTGCCTCATTTTTTTTCTACCCTCTTACTTGGGCAGAAGACTGTGTGAATGCAAATTGCTTTATTGGTGAAGGGAATTAAAATTATAAAAAGCCAGGCTTAAAGAAGTGCAAAATCAGGGCTGTGTGGAAACAGGGACAATATAATTGTGGTATGGATCCCCATATGGGACTAAATTATCTAGATTTTACTAATGTCAGCAGTTCTGTGCAGTCGCTGGAACGCAGCCAATGTACCATGTTTGCCTCGTCTTTTTTTTTTTTTTTAAACAGCTCTGATTTGACACAATCTTAAGTATGCAGAAAGCTAAAACTGTCTCGGGTAGCTGGGTGGCACTTCCCACATACATGTCTTTGCATGTCAAGAATTCTACATGACTATTAAACAAGATGTGACACAAAGGGGGCGTTATGTTCCTAAGCAAAAGGCTGTTTATTAACATTTCTACCTTGCCTACACAGTCTCCCCAGTTAGAGAAGGAAAAGAGAAATACCCTCTTCTCTGAGTCCGTACCAAGGTTGTCTTCTTTTACAGCACACCAGTCAGTAATACTGTTTTGTAACAACTCAATAAAGTTGATAGTTGTTCTGGATAATTACCCACAGCCCCCTGCAGGACAAATTAGCATTCACGACCTGAATAATGCTTACTAGAAAGAGTTCAATGGAATTTACTTAATCAGAGTCAATGCTTTCTGTTAGCTAATTTTTTTAACCTAGTCCCCAGTGCCTGGTAATAGCAAATATCTACCAAGACAGTTGATATTTGATAAAGGGGGTGGACAAGTCATCTTTAAGCTTGTATTGTATTTGGGAGGGAAGACTAGAAAATAATTGGTTTTCATTTAATATCTAAGATGTGAAATTTTTCATTTTCCTTTATAATTTCTAATTGGATTTTTTCTCTTTTTAGTGCTTAATGTTCTTAGAAAGATCAAAAAAAAAGATTATTT